CAAATTTACACAGTGCAGAATCAAAGATGTCACTAAATTAATCTGGAAAAAATATCTTTTACTGATAATTGTCAAACTTCATCCAAATATTATGATCTTTTAGATCACCCTGTCCTTAACTGCAGACAAAAAAAAATCCAAACCAAGAATTTATTGACAGGGGAAAAAATGCTTTTCCGAATGTAAAAAAACCGAAACTTTTAGGGGTGGGGTGTTAGCCGCTGAATTTTTCCTGCCAGCTAACAGAGATCCATGTTGTCGGGGTGGGTGGGGGTTCCAAGGTAATTTGTAAAAAAAAAAATATCTTAAATATGCACATTGAACAACTCTGCAAATTACAAGGGAATTGGACCCCCATCCCATCCACCCCCTCTAGATTTGTGCATAAACCGATTCAGGATTTATTAAAAGAAGCAATTCAGTCAGCCAATATATTTGCACTGGTCATTACACGAAATGTCTATCAAAAATGGAAGTATGCAATATCACAGATCCTTCATCTTTTATAAATATGCATACAAAGTGTCTACAGAACAATAAGAATACATCAATGCAGTGTATAAGTTCTCTCCTCTGAAAACATTAAAAAATTGTTTTAAGCTCTATATCATTTATAGTAAAATTTTGATGCTTGTAAGTCATCCGCGAACTCACAGCTAGATGACTTAGTTTTAAGAAAGAGTCAGTATGCAATGGCCAAAGAAAGACAATTCAGACCATCTTCACAAAAATGCTTTCTTCCGACGGATTGACTGTCCCAACTGAAAACTTTTTTAAAATGTCCAGAAAACGACCTTTTAAAAAAATTAGATTCTCTTAGAGATTCTAAATTTATAAAGAAAAATTTACCCAATTAAATATTTTCTTTAAAACAAGATGTGTTTGTGAAACACTATGCGCCCGGCGGCAACAAATTTAAAAAACATATTTTTAGCATATAGGTCACAATGAAGGTCACAAGGTCATTGATCTTGGTGTCATTTGAAAGATCTTGATTAGTGAAGTACGTATACCAAATATCAAGTCTTTATCTTTCATGGTTCAAAAGTTATGGTGAAGGTTCAAAAAAGCTATTTTTAGCACATAAGACGCAGTCAAGGTCACAAGGTCATTGATCTTGGTGTCATGTAAAAGGGCTTCATTAGTGGAGTAGGCATGCCAAATATTAAGTCTCTATCTTTCTTTGTTCAAAAGTTATGGCGAAGGTTAAAGTTTGCAGTCAAAAAAGCTATATTTAGCATATAGACCACAGTCAAGGTCACAAGATCATTGACCATGGTGTCTTTTAAAAAAGCTTAATAAATGTTGTATGTATACCAAACATGAAGTCTCTATCTTTTATGGTTAAAAAATTATGGCAAAGGTTAAAGTTTGGCCCTCTATTTTTAGCATATAAACATTTTCTTTAAAAAAATATATGACATCTCTATCATTCATGGTTCAAAAACTATGGCGAAGGTTAAAGTTTGAAGACAAACAGACAGACAGACAGGACAAAAACAATATACGCCTCGGATCTTTCGATCCGGGCGCATAAAAATATCCTCGTCCGGCGGAAGAAGGCAAAAAAAAAAAAAAACAAGATGTGTTTGTGAAACACTGATGCCCCCTGGCCCGTATGGCAACAGCGAAGGTTAACCTTTCTTAATTGCAGATCAAATATGTTGGTACCTAAAGTAAGGCCTTTTCAAAATAAATACAAATGTAAAATATAAAACCCTAGCACCACCTGTTCAAGAGTTATGACCAAGGTTAAATTTTGTAAAGGTAGGACACACTCTGGGGTCAAGGTCAAAGGGTCAAGATTGCTGGTTTCTAAAGAAAGGCCTTGCCTCAAAGATTACATATGGGAAGTATGAAAGCGCTGACCCTTACTGTTCAAAAGTTATGGCCAAGGTTAAAGTTTGTAAAAAGTCGGTCAAACTCCAAGGTCAATGTCAAAGAGTCAAGGTTCTTGATATTCAATGAAAGGTCGTGTCACAACAATTACATATGTGAAACATGAAAGCTCTAGCTCCTACTGTTCAAAAAGCTATGACCAAGTTTGTAAAAAAGTAGGTCAAACTGCAAAGACTGCAAGGTCAAAGGGTCAGAGTTGTTGATATCCAATGAAAGGTCTTCTCACAAGGAATATGATATATAATAATAAATATTTGAAGTATGAAAGCCCTAGCTCTTACCGTTCAAAGTTATGGCTAAGGTTAAAGTTTTTTTTCGTAAGTACGGAAATCTCCAAGGTCAAGGTCAAAATTGTTGGTTTCAAATGAAAGGTCTTGCCAAAAAGAATTGATATTTGAAACACGAAATTCGTAGTGTCTACCGTTTAAAAATTAGGACCAAAGTAAAAGTTTGAAATTTTTGTGTAAAAATGGGTCAAACTTCAAGGTCAAGGTCAAAATTCTTGATATCAAATGAAAGGTCTTGTCACAAGGATTAAATGTGTGAAGTATAAAAGCCCTAGTTCTAACCATTTAAAAATTATGTTCAAGGTTGCATTTTAAAGGAGGTCAAACTCCAAGGTCAAGATCAAAGGGTCAAGGTTCTTTGTATCCAAAAAGCGTCTTTTAACAAGGATTACATATGTGAAGTACGAAAACCCTAGTACTTACCGTTCAAAAGTTATAGCCAAGGTGAAAGTTTTTTCATAAGTACAGAATTCTCCAAGGTCAAGGTTGTTGGTATCCAATGAAAGGTCTTTCTACAAAAAATACTTATGTCAAGTATAAATGTCCTGTTATCTACTGTTCAAAAGATATGGCCAAAGTAAACGTTCAAATTTTTGTGTAAAAGTGGGTCAAACTCCAAGGTCAAGGCCAAAAAGTCAAATTTGGTGGTACCGAAAGAAAGGTCTTGTCATAAGGAATACACATGTAAAATATGAATGTCATAGCTCTACTAAATCAAAAGTTATGGGCAAGGTTAACATTTTTGCGGACAGACAGAGAGACAGAGAGAGAGACGGAGGGACACGACAAAAACTATATACCCCCGAAACTTCTACGGGGTCATAAAAAAATTAGGGCACATGAGTCATTTAAGTGACCTGTTTGGTATCTGTTTTCGTCCGTCGTTGTGCGTCGTCCGCCGCCCGTTAACTTTTGAACATTGTCAACCGCTGAACCAGTTTAACCGACGAAAATAATATGCAACGGACCAGACAAAGATTCAAACCCGGGACCAGAGCAGGATTCGATAAATATATCATTCAATATTTGTAAATTTCTGTTGAAATAAAAGTCCTTCATTTTAATATATGAAGCTGACCTCAATATTGCACAGGACATCGTTACACAAGACATAAGAATGAGAAAAACGTATCATGCTACGTGGAAACCAAACTATACCGAATGAGCGAAATAGTTCTAAGATAGATCTACATATACACCTTCCTTCATCTGTCATTTGTGTTCCCCGTCTCTCAAAAATCTCATCATATACTGATTGTTACCCGTTTTGACACAATAATACTTGATGATAATCTTACAACAAAGATATGATAAATGTGATGGCTTTAACTTTTTAGTCGTCAACTTCCCTTACTTATGCCCTTATCACCTGCATAAGCGGTTTATATCTCTCAGTTTATTCGATCCGAATGCTGCACGTATGAACAATATCTAAAACGAGGTAAGTTATTGACAAACAAGTTGATGAAACAAAAATATCAGCAGCCACGTTTAAAGTCATCATTTCGCAAGTTCTTGGTCGATACAATGACATTAATTCAGCCAATATTATACCCCCCGCTTGAAAAGTGTGCCTCCTATTTTACTTTTTGATCCGACACATATTTTGTAAAAATACTCATGTCTGGCATTGGCATACGGTAGATGAACGCGAACCGAAAGCTGAAAGTTGCAAGCTGCTTACTGTTTGATAAACGAAAGATTCAATGAAGCCCTCAATCATTTATTTTGCAAATGTCTCGCATATCATTTTCACCTTGAAAGCGAGATTCACATGACATATTTTCCACCACAAGGAAAATGTTTGCATTTTCTAAAAATCTATCTTACAACAAAGCAAACAGAAGATTTAAAAGATAATATATTTTTAAAAATCCTTTTCAACTTCAGCATATTCAGGTATTGAATAAGTTCAATCGTGTTCTATACACCCAATCTTTTACCGCACATAGCAGAAAATTCAGGTTTCTTTTCCCAACAAACTTTTAACTGGATAGATTTACGGTATGTTAACTCCAGTCCTTTAACATAAGATACTTTTGCAAATATTTACCCTGCGTACATTGCGACTTTCTGTATAAGTTCAACTACCAAAGTAAATGGAATTGTCTTTATTACCGTGATTTTTGTTCTCAGTGACCTTTTTACCATTTCATTCCCAAAACACGGGTATTTCTATTTCGTTAGCTGAAAACCCCGTCTACATCGCCATTAATGTTCGTGATTTATTGACAGTAAATTGTATATATATATAACAACAGCGACAAGCAATTATCCTCTGTGTTTTCCTAAGTGATGGTTTCCTGCAGGCTGTATGGAGCTCATTAAAACAAAATATGTCTCCTTACCGCAGACAGTTTTAAAACATACATCAACATACTTCGTTCTACCATGACCAAATCATTCAGGGTGGGAATTTCAGGTCCTAAGATCATGTTTGTTTTGATTTGTAAAACTAGCTAATTATATATTTTCTTATGCCTTAAACTTGCTATTTGTAAGCACTTGACTAAGTAATTTTTAGATTCAAAAGGTGTTCCTCTGTCATAGACAGAAGTATGTCAGATTTAAAGCCAGAGATTTATAACAATCTGACCTGACAATTAATGTTTGGTTTTCACTTTAACCATGTAAATAAGGATCATACACAGTCTACAAAATATTTTTCTACATTGCATCTAAGAATCGTCAGACATTTACACGTGTGAAGCACTGTTTTAAGGCTACCACATATCTTGTATACAGACATGCATGTGAGATAACATTTCGAGATCAGACTCAATATTGTTCATATATATCTTCCGTGATACTCACCATTTTATTCAAAAATCCAACAGGAAAGACTAAGTTTTATTTGTATTCACCATAATATCATCCCGTTCTGGAAGATACGGCACATGATTCCCAGGAGCTAGCAGAATTCGGCAATGATTTTACTTCCTCTTTCGCTTTTTTATCTGATTTAATCACAGGTGCGTGTCTCTCCTAACGTATATAAAACCTTAAATTGAAGGAGATAATTTCATACACTGCTTTAAAGTGCCAAGCCCTTCAACCGCCTAATCATATTGCAGCTTGATGTTGTATAGTACTCTGTATACATAAGTACTTGATCGAGGAATTAGAATCTACTATTATATCGTGATATAGTGGTTAAAGGTTCCCTCATAAATCATTTTGATAAGAAAATATTTATAGCTTAAAGTTTGCGTCAAATATAATTTCAGTTGTCATTCTGCAGAGGACTTGCAATCTTGAGTACATGGAGGTACTAGTATATGGTGTCGCTTTGGAGAATAGGAGACACAATTAAAGCTTTTGGACCATGAGAGTTGTAATTCAAGCTCCCATTAACAGCTGTTTACTCAAGATTGTCGTTCAGGAAAGAAGAGGGTATCTTTTAAAAAAAATGCTGAAACACAACACCGTAAACCTTTATTTTTATTTTCCGTGACGTTGTACATTCCTTAGACTGGGTACTGGAGAGATGCGAGGACCACTTGAACCTTAGCATACGGGGACGACTTGTTTTGGGATTCTGACAGAGTGTCCGTCTTGTATCGATTTACGCACGCAAAAGGAAGAACTGCAAAAAAAAAAAAGAACTGATAAAGTTGGAAAAAATCTTTGTCGAGATACATAAAAAAAATCATCATTATTTTCATCTAAATCAGCAGCCAATTGAGATCACGAAATATTCTTTCCAATGCACATATATTCCGATCTTGCCAATATGTCCATAACTTACTAAAGAAATTTTTCATTGGAAAATACCAACATGAGTACTATAATTGGTAATAGAAACAGTAATTTGAATGGCAGTGTTTACTTTTTCCAAATAGCCGTTGCATGCATCTCCTCTTCAAATTTTAATGTAGAAAATTAAATGTTCCATCCAAGAATTTTAAATAAAAATTATTGTAGAGATTTACATTCAGTATGAATTTTAATCTAGAAGCACAAATTAAATGAAATCCCGCCCCCACATGTGGTAGCGATAGCCTTAGAACTTGTTAGTACGAGGGTGTCCGATGCATGGTGAATTCGCCCAAAGTGTCCTTTTTTCTGTGGGAAACCCCTAATATCTGTCCAATCGGAATACGCAAATTGACAGTAAGTAATAAAGTCTCATTACATTTTATTTAGTGGTATTGGAGGAGTTGGGATATGAGATATGAATTCTCCAGTGTCACAGACAGAAATCCCATCACTATATATCCCCGCTTTTCAAACCAGGGATTGTTATAGAAAGAATCCATGGCCACTGGAAAAAATATTTTAAACAACTAATATTTTACCTGGTGCCCAGTTCTCCTGACATAACAGAAATGGACACAACTTCGATTTGAGCAGCACCACCTCCAAAGCTAAACAACCAGCCTCCCTTCTTCTTGTAAAGTAAGTCCACAGACGTTACCTCTCCAACCTCTGTGGGCACGGCGACGACTTTTGTAAGTACACCGTTTGTTTTAAGATGGCTATCTTTCCTAAAAAAAAAAAAAGAAGTTGAAAAAAAGGGAAAAGGTCATTTTTCCACGAATGAATCCTTCCCTCATTTTCTTAAATGTTATTCTCTACCATAGTGTAATATTAAAGAACCTACTCAGTAAAGGCGATGGAATGGCTGTTACCAAAATCCCCGTGAAGTGTGATAAAAAGAGTGCCATAAGTGTCGGTTCTTCCAAGATCAAATTTAATCACATAGTGAAAACCTATTAAAAGTAGAGAGATTAATTTAAATGCAAACGAACTTTAGGAGGCAAGACTGGGGACATCATTGTATATTCATTCAAAAAAATATATCAGTGAATACTAGTATTCCTTTTTCCGTTTTCATTTGCTATTAAAGGTCAAAGATAGGAAAACAGTGAGACCACCATATATATCACATCCAATACTTACCACAGAATGGCCCCTGATTTCTATCTACAGTCATGAGGTACATTTTGCCCCTCGCCGAGTACTGATCCGCATAATATCCCAACTCCGAGCAGCCTCTGGTTCCGCACGTCATGCACTCACCATGAGTAAAATTTTCCTAAAACATTAGACTTATCTTAATTTGCAGGTAACTCATTTGAAAAAAATCTCAGAGGAAATGAGCGAGCAGATGGTTGCAACCTACGTAATTGTCACAAGGGTAAGCTGTAAACGGACAATCCGTCAATATGGACTCAGTGAAATACACATGAGAACGACCATGACTACAAGCAATAGCCTCTCCAATGACTGAAAAAGAAAGATTCCTGCTGAAGTGCGGATTTTAATTAGTTTTTCGCATGAAAAAGTCTAAAGGAAAAAGAAGTCTAAAAATATTTAAATTATATATACACGTTTAATCCACAAATCCCTGATGTATCTTAAACAAAACAATGGAGAGAATTTTCTGAACTGACAAAACATGCCGTATTTGACATAGCTAGAAAAATGTATTTTTAAAAAATAAAAATGTGGCGGAAAGACCGAAGAGGATTTTAAAAAAAACGTTTCTGTATAAAATGTATACCTGAAGTATTAAAGGTAAAGATGGTGTTGAATAGTCCACCTATTTGATTTGGACACCCAGTTTGCTTTTCACCTCCATTGACGTAGAAATCCACGTGACCGGAAACTTGCATAAGACCGTAACCAAGCTTAGAAAATGGTGCACCATTTGTATGTATGACATCAACAAAATTAGCATCGTCAGGATCCAATCGAATGCCAACAGAGAGATGTTCGAAGTCGGGTTCTGCAGGATCCATACCTAGTATGAAACCAAGAGATGTCTTTAGCTGTTTAACGAACCATATTATCATCATCGCAATCCATGATTCAGTTTCGATTCTAATTCCATAAATATAGTTGCAGCTTAGTTGAAGGTAGGTTGTCGGAATAAGAATGGACATTAACCTATTGCATGCGATGATTACGGAGACTTACAGGATATATATCTACATGTATACGGAATTTATAGATTACCCGTTATCCTTCCTAATCTGCCATGCAGAAGTCGTCCTGTGTAGCCTGCTGTATGGGCGCCAAGACTGTGACCAATCAGATGCATATCGCTCACCTTGGCACCTGCTCTTACCAACATGTCAATGATCAGGCGAAGCTGGGTCCCCACCATTCGGGTATTAGACGCAGCCTGGTTATAGTTAGGTGCAGTGGCTCCTCTACCCCATGCCACGATAATAACATTAAAGTCCCCCTGTCAGAGGAAATTGTGAACACTATTTAACCTTTAAATGTAGGGCTGGGTATTGGCCCGAGATTTCGTATTGCGATATATTGCGATATTTTAAACTGTATTGCGATATGTATTGCAATATTTTCAATGTAATTTAAATGGCATTTTCTTACTATATTTACTCTAATTTACATGCAGAATGTACATAACTATGATAAGTAACCAACACAGAAAAAAATCTTGTTGATTTCATTTAAGTTATGCTCGGAAATGTTCCCAAAAAACAACTTCTGTCTTACTATTTGGCTTAATAACAAACTTTCATAAGTCCATTTTTATATTTAATGACATAATTCCTTAATCTAAGCATATTGCCAATATATCGATATTACAAAATCGTATTGCGATACGATATTTTTTATCATTGTATCTATATTAAATATCCTTTAAATGGAAACCTTTTAATTTTGAACAAGGGAATTTTGAATAGTGACATTTTCCCCGTTAAATCAGTCAAAAAATATAATGCACTTACACCATGTAGTACAATCAGTACAAAAAATATATATTATTTTGCACTATATGAATTTGATGAATTCATACCATGGATATAGCGAAGTGATTTATATACTTCGTTATAACCGAGTTTTACTGTATATACCTTTTGCAGTGATTTTAGCCTTGTCATCTCTGATTGAATTCAATTTCACTTTTATTCATTAAAAGACATTAAATAAAAAGAATGACTTACCTTCTTGAGAAGAGCATCTTTCATATCGTACAGCCATTTTGTCTTGATGGAATTGGTGAATCCATGAATTATAATTTTGGTTTTGAGGATGCCTTTGTAAAATGAGTTTGTTACGGAGGACAGTGATGTATAATTCAGATGTTGGGAGGTATTCCAGTTTCTTCTTGTGAAGAGTAAAAATTCAGTACCGATTTGTTGAGGAGACCGAGGCAAATCTAAATCAGTGTTATCGAATGGAGGGAAATTATCGAAACAACCAACATATGGAAAACATTCAGTCTTATTTGCATACGGGTTTGGCTTGTGGGTTGTTAAATTTAAAGATGTTGGTGTGGTTGTTACGTGACCATGGGTTGTGCTTTTGTTGAGGGTGGCATCTCCCGCTGAAAGTAATAGAATTTGGTTCACGTCAATTAATTATTATCAAAATTCCGGCTTTGGAAGGTTATGAGCAAGAACAGTTAGAACCCTGTCATGTTAATATAGCAACGCCAAAGAAATCTTAATCAAAGAACAAACATCTGAAAGAAGGATATATGCATTACGTACATGATAAGGTTGTCAGTCAAACTCAACAGAAAAAAAAATGCTCAATAACAGACAAATTCCATCCTAAATCAACAGATGGATTGAACTGTAGGAATCTACCGATCCTCCACCAGAGAATGGGACCGCCCTAAAATTCCTTAAATCAAGCTGAATGGAAATTGTAGTCAGACCAATTGAAAAATCAATGGTACTAATGTGTACTTTTCATTTGGATGCAACATCCTCAATTCAGGAAGATCACATGACCATCATAGTAAAGAGATGGCATTTTACATACTAGAATGTTAACCCAGCTAAAGATTAATAATTCACCAAGACAATACACAACAAACTTAAGGTCAAGATCTAGTAAATAACTTGAGACTACTTTTTGGTGCTAGATCCATTATGACGTCATAATCAATTTCAACTTTCTTTTTCCCGTACTTAAGGGCTTTAGCAGAATTATGTAGAAAATAGAGTATTTTCATGACATTCAAGTTGAAATCATATGAAAAGTAAACCGGATGCCTATATTAAATTTGATATTGATTAAAAGAAGAGGCCATGAACATACTAATTACCGTTTTCTGAGAGACTGTAGGCAATCTGGATACATTTCCTTTGTCGAATATGAGAAAAACTCCCATATTCATGACTGGTTTTCTTAATTTTTCATTGAAAATGACAGTTTAAAATACAGTTTTTCATCTTGTTTATCTACAAATTATGTCCCGAAACACATTATTCGATCAAGCTAAAGTTGTAATGCATCAATAAAGGAATTTATTTCTCAAGTTTGATAAATGTGTAGGCACCTTTCATTTACTAGATCTTGACCTTAAACTCATTGTTTGCAAAGGTCTAACAGAGATTACTCAGGATGAAGAGAAAGACTGTTTATCAAAACCTTCAAACGATGATTGATAAAACACAAATGCATGTTTTCTGACATGAAGTCGGGTCACCCAAAAAAAAAGAAAGAAAGGAAAGAAAGTAAAAACACTGAACAAGGGCCGGGAGAAAGTTACAACAATGATGAAAGACTTAACATAATGTTTTGCCAGACAAACGGCCTTGACAGTGATAGTGCCATATTCATACACAAGATCATCCCAAGAGCAACATGGAACTCTCTTGATGGTCAAAGCAGAAACATAACTAGAGGCACTATGAGCACTGAGGCACGAAATGATACCCACGCCTCCCATATGATTATAATGGCAATAATTGCTATTGGAGACCCAAATTAAGTGTCAGATCAACAAGTTAAATAAGAGGAATTGCGGATAAGGATGGACACCCCTCAATATTACAGAAAGAATTGCAATTTCCATGTTTTGCTATGGGAAACCCGAAATTTGTCTCCGACCAAAAGGTAAAATAGGAGGTGCACAATTGCACCATGTAACAAAGATTCTGTGAACATCTCATCAAATCCCATTCAGTGTCACTGTGCACCTCATATTTTACTTTCTGATTGGATACATATTTCAGCTTTCCATTAGCAAAACATGGAAATGGCTATTCTTTCTATAATATTGAGGGGTATCAAACTCTTTTCTGCAACTCCTCCTTTACAACTGAATAAAGTTTAATAATATTTTCACGGGTTCTTTATTGCACAGTGCCATTGTACACATCGGGTCTCCCATAAAAACATGGACATTGCTCTTAAAATCATATGGGAGGCGGGGGTATCATTTCGTGAACTCAGTCCTCACAGTACCTCTACTTTTACTTTGAGTTATAAGAGATATATAAACTTTTGGAGAGGACTTATATAGGCCATGCCTGATGTCCAATCCAATTATGAAATTTTACATAATAAAATATTGATTAAATTAAAATATATAAACTCAACGTAGAAATGAAATTAAATACCCCGGTATCGTTGATTGACAACGTTGTCCATACATGTATCGAAATGTCCAGTTGAAGGCAAGAAAGAGGTTTCTTTTCATATAGAAGTTTTTGAATAGATTCTGCTTCATATGAAACACAAAAAGCAGATCTGCTAATCAACAAAAGTATAGAAAACGATCAAGAGTTAACTTTTTGGAATCAAAAATAAACACAGATAGTAACTGAAAACAAGTTCTGTTCCGCATATCATTATCCAGGGTAGGTGTTGCGTCACTTGGGAGTTTATGGATACCTTAGAATCAATTGCAACCTCAAATGCTTCAAGAACACCATTATAGAGCTCTTTCTGTATACTGAAAAATCATGAAAGCTGACAAATACAGTAATCACAGCATATGTGTCTTCCAATGGAGAAATTGCATACTTATCTTCTGGACAAAGTCCATCTACAACGAAGAATTCAATTATATGAAAAAGAATAACACCTGGCCCCTGTCCCTGAGAAACAAGAGTAGGAGCAAGGGAGGATTGGGTCATGTTTTCAGGTTACAACAAGATTTTATTCCCGGGGTCGCATAAAGGTAAACTCCATCACAAAAGAGCATAAGGGAAGAGGAATTGAAAGAAAGGGAATGAACACTAAGATAGATCTTACACTGACGCACATATTCGCTTATGACAAGCTAAAGTACTTGTTACTTTCTTGTATTCCTTTACAGCAAAACTATTTGTTAAATCAATCCAAAACAATTCCAAAATGGTTTTACTCTAAATTGCGTATATCATCTTACAGGACATCTCTTATCACGTACCGGTGGTGTCGGTCATTCATCTTTGAATTACAGCAAAGAATAATATGAATGCAGAGACCAAACTGTCTATATAATTTTCTAATGGCTTTCCCCGGATGAATGTGGTTTTAAATCTAGAGTGATTAAGATACCTACCGCAAATCTTGAAACACAACCCTGTGAGGATTATCCACCACGTGTCCATGCTTAAAGGCTGTCTTGCGGAGATAAAGAACGCACCGGATTACCCCCGGGAAGACAGACCAAAACATTTTGACCAAAATCAAGTGAAGGTCGAGTCATATTTAGATCCAATATTCATAGAACGCTATTGTGTCATCGAAGATCACTGAACAAACCAGCTGTGCAGATTAAACATTGAACACGTATGTTTTCGTGCAGACAGTGTCTGGAAAATTATGACGTGTTCGATATTTTCGTGTCATTTTCAACAACAGAAGAAGTATTGTTTCTTGCAAAACGATTATTTTTAGTTGGTTGAAGCACTGTTAAATTCATTTCCAATGGAAAACCTATGTGTTTAACAATTGACAACTACTACCAAAGTTCTTAATATTACACTGTAGTACTAAATGTCTTTTGTACCAAACGCATAGTTATTAAATAAATCTATTAAAACTGGAAAGTAGTTGTTTTTCATGACGAGCTGTACAGTTTGTGTAACGACAAACTTGTCTTGAAGTAAATTCAAGATTTAAGAATTCCAAACATGTTTAGATTAAATACATATACAACTTGTAAAACCAGTGTGACACAATTTTTCAAGTCGAGGGTACATTTCTAGAAATCACCAAGACGTAGTATCCTTTCGGAAGTGGCAACCAAGCTCCGTATACCTTGAATTTGATGCTGTGTTATTACACAACGTGAACTCACGATCGAGCTCATGTCTCAAATCATGGAGACTGAAATAAATATACATTTCATAGATCGAACTTATTTTAAATTGAAGTGATGATAACAGTAGGATGGGGCAGTCTCTAGTGTATGTGAGAAGATATCAAAACTTTTAAAGAAGTACTCCTTTATTGCAATATTTTATTGAGATTTTGATCAACAACTTTGGCTCTAACACGTTGTGGTAGAGGATATGTGCATGGTTTTGACAGCTACTCCGTCTGGTAGGTTGATTCCTCTCATACAGAAAGTGTACCTTGAAAAGAGAAAACATGATTCAGGACATACACAGTAAAATATACATATTCCACTGAAAATATGATTCTATTCAATGCATTGGTTTCTTAATACTACATGTATTAATAAATAATTTGAAATTCACAAGTTATCGCAATATCAAGAGTGATACCATACGTTTAAGATGTCTCATGATTTTCGATTTTTGCTATACATCACTAACTAGCAGAAGAAATAGGGCGCACCTATTACTGGTCTGAATTTCCTCGACAGACACTGACGTTAACGTTATTTGGTTCTTTCCTCCCCTTCCGAACAGGAAGCCGTCTTTCTTCTGATAGAGTACATCTATGGATGTTATGTGTGTGAATCTACTTGCCAGAACAACAACCTGAGTGTGAGGCATTCCAGCTCTCAAGTGTGCTCCAGGACTATATTGTAACAACATCAATAGTTATTGACATATATGAAGTATATTTAATTTACCGGTATTTGATTTACAGAGTTATTAATTCGTTTGACAATAGTATCAATTTGAGATTCTATTGATTGACAGAAAAGTTACCACCCAACCCCTGTTTACCTATATATACCCCTATTTACTTTGTAATGGCAATTTGTTGTATATGACCATCAGCATTATGCACTGTGACCATTATTTGACCAATGGAATCCTCTGTTCCATAGACCGTTTTAATAAGATAATGGTAGCCTAAAACAGAATACAAGTAATTTAATTGCCTCATGGATTTAATTTGCGTATACTTTGTATTGAATTATATTTATTCATTAGTAAATGAAATGCTAGAATTTGAAAAGAGCATATGTAAATGCAAGTATACCACAGAATGGTGCGGTGGTTTTGATTTGAGTGTTGAGATACATTTTCCCGCGCCCTGAATTTTTCTCTGCGTTTAGACCAAGCTGCGAGCATCCACTGGAACCACACGTTTTACATCCACCGGCAATAAACCTTTCCTAAATTATACAAGTTCTTTTACTTCTATTGTTTGCTATATATCTTTCTTAAATGCATGCAGTCTTAGTTAATATCTTCAGCAAAATATTTTAACCTACGTAGCTGTCACATGGATATGCCGTAAAGGGACAGCTTGCTAATATGGATTCCGTGAAATATTCGTGGGCACGTCCATGACTGCAAGATGCAGCCACTACAGCGCCTATAAAATACACATTAATAGTACTTTTCAAAAAATCAAATGGAATATAGATCATGCATTACTTTTTGCCAATGCAGATGTATTCAATGATGTTTATAATACTAAGTGTATCTGTCTCTTTCTTGAAAGGACATTTACAAATAGAGAAGGAATTCCGCAAACCTACCAGAGACGTTGTGATTAAAAAGTTGTTGAAAGGCCCCTGCTACCAAGTTTGGACATCCTGGTTGGGATTTTCCCCCGTTTACGTAGAAATCCACATGCCCTGACACCTGCATTAACCCAGCTCCGCCTCTTCTTATGGGTGCACCATTTGTGTGAATGATGTCGACAAACTTTGCATCAGTTGGATCTATCCGTACACCAGCTGGATGGTTTTCAAAATCTGGCTCAGCTGGATCAAGCCCTGAAGGCCATGATAAGTAATCGTATAATTTCAGAATACTCTTGCTTGTTGATATTTGCATTAAACAGTACCCTTTTCAAATACGTATAAGCCTTACCAGTAATTCTGCCAACTTTGCCGTGCAGTTGCCTTCCGGCTGAGCCCGCAGTATGAGCCCCTAAGCTGTGGCCTATGATGTGGATATCATCTAAATTGCTTCCTGCTTGAACCAGTTTCTCAATGACGAGTCTAGTTTGAGTTCCCACCATTCTGGTATTGGAAACAGCCTGGTTATAATGTGGTGGGACAGCTCCTTTACCCCATGCTACAATGATGACATTGAAATCCCCCTGCAAGTAAAATTACTTGCAATAGCAAAATAATCATCGAGTATTCTTAACATTATGATTGTCCATGGTGTTGCAATTGAATAGGTATGTACTTGCAACATATAGATATACAATAGTAATTTCTTTGCCCAAGAACTTCCTGGAGCAGAATGGCAGATACCATAGTTGAAAATAAAATACATGTAGACCAATGCAATATATCTTCATTAGATTTAATTTTTTTCAAAGTTCAAAATGTTTATAACATGCAAACCAACGATTCTCTATGTATAATGGTATTGGATTTAGTCACTAGAATAAAGACATTAATTAAATAATGTTCACAATTTTTTTTCAAACTTGAAATGGTTGGATTCTTACCTTTGTAAGAAAAGCATCTTTCATAGCATATAACCATGCAGTTTTAACTGAATTGGCAAATCCATGGACTATGAACTTTGTCTTCTGGGTGCTCGAGAAATGAGAATTGTGCACAGTGGCATGAGATACATAGTCCAGTATATCTGCATTGTTTCTATTTCTTCGAGTAAACAGTAGAAACTGTGTCCCTATCTGGTTTGGTGATAGTGGCAAATCAAAGGCAGCGTTATCAAACGGAGGGAGGTTATTGAAACAGCCAACATGATCGTAACAGACTGTTTTATTCGCCAGTGGGTTTACGGTTGTTGTTGTAGTAGTCGTTGTTGACTGGACACCGACTATAAAGAGAAGCACCAGCAACGTTTCAATATTACATTGAAATTCACGCGTGTTTTTGAAGGCTTATATCATATTCAGCTACACTTTGCAAAAATTATCTATTGTTATTTTGAAATAACAAAGAATATGTGTTTTACTTTGAATAAAAATCTTTTAAAACGAATTTATTCCCACACATTTTATTTAACGTCATGAACATTATCAATATGGAGTTTATTGTACCTCTTACCTATAAACGCCAACGAAATTAGTACCAGTGACATCATTTTGTCATTTGTGTCTTATCAACAGAACAGTCACCTTAACCAAACCCACGTGGATTGTAAAAACCTAAGATACTGATTACCAACACTGTAGACTTCTTCTTGAGCCTATTTTCTCGACGATCATGTTGTCTGAGTTCCTGCCATTTTGGTATACTAGTATTTGAGATGGCTTGGTGTAAAAACTCTTGCAATCGCCCCTTTCCCAAACTATGCTAATGACATTGTAGAAAAAGTTCAAGCGATGTTTTTTGAAGTTTGATTTTCAACTTGTGGAGTGATAGGAAGTTGGGAAAAGACGTTTTTCTACAAATTCTGGTTTCCTTACCTTCTCTTCATTTTTTGCAGTGATCCATTCATATTGATGCGCAATAAGGATTTAAGATGATTTCCATATTCACCCTTGTCAAAGAATGTCGATTTTCTCCGATTTCTCATGAGCTAAGATCACGAGTTTTTGATAATAACAAATTTCATAGCTAGGGGGATTTTGGAAGCAACAATTGCAAAACTTAGTAATGTTTTCAATGTTGATCAATGTTAAGGTTTATTTTAAAAACCGCCATTTTTTCTTTTTAAAGATTTTTTATTTCCCTTTTATGGTGACCATGAAAATCAAGAAATAAACAATTTACTTCCGCTAACAATATTATCGAATTTCCATTAAACATCAGGAGGTAAAAGAACCCAAGGTATATGGCCTGACTTCTTTCTTTCTCTGCTATTAACAACCAGGTATTCCATCAAATATGCATGACTTTGGCCCAGGTATGAGAACACTGTGCAGGTAGTCGAAGTCATTACGGGGATCCATGGAACCAAATTTAATTAACATTCGATTTTTACAATTATCTATACATACTCTTTATTTCTTTCTTGACCGCTAATTAAATAAATAATTAAAGATGATACGTCATCAGTGATGGAGAAATCTTCCGATATAACTTAGAACGGCGTCTTTTAGTGAACTAAAGGAACATCGGAAGATGGGCACTGCGCCTGGGATATTATTATTTTTGTTATTTTTTACACGCGCTTGTGGTCAAATCACAGAAATTCAAAGACATTCTAAAATTTTTGCATTTAATGTGAATTCAAATCTTTCATATATTGGACATGAATTTCGAAACCATCGAATTTCTAATTTCTCGACAAAGTTCCAAGTCACCCAGTGTGCTATGGAATGCCACAGAACGCCTCGATGTCAATCATTTAACTTTGCGTCAAAGACTCGTCAGTGTCATCTAAATGACGCGACGCATCTCGAGTTTCCTCAGGATCTGACCAATGATTCAAGTACGACTGGATTTGTATATTACCCGAAAGACGCAATTACTATAAGTCAGGTAAGTGACCGTACGGCTTTAATTTTTTTTTTATCAAAAAGTAATTTTTTCTGAACAAAAATGAAAATTAAAGACAACATTTTACAAAATGTTCTCATAAATTACAGAAAAACTGGAAACAATAAAAAATATAACGTTACTGATTATTTACAATAATGTATGTTCGAAGACTATAAAAATTACGCACAGAAAAAAAAAATGATGACATAGACGGATAAAAAGTCACTTATGAGAAAAAGCACCTTATATTGTGTTTTTAAATTTAAATTTAAAATTTCAATTAAATATTGTTTTTCAAAAACATTTTCAAGAGATTTATCTTTTATGAACTTTTTAATGATTGGTAAGGTTGCACCTAATAAAAAAAATAGTATAAATTCAGGTCTTTTGATTTCTAAAAATTATTTTAACTTTCAAATTTCAATTTTTAAGATGCTTTTGTTTAGAAATTAATAATTTTTATTCAAATATGAAGAAATGGAATATTCTATTACTGATAAGAAGGATACGATCAAATTTTAATATATTTCAATTTTAGGTTTGTATTTATTTGAATCAATTTGACAAATTCTCGTGTAAAATTGATAGTGACGTGTCCGGGTAAAACTTTCAAAAATAGCGACATGTATATAGTTGTAAATTTTTGTTAATTACGATTAGTACGAAGCTGCGTGGATCAATTTTTGGTTTTGTTGTTCAGTCCCCTTGAATGATTGGGTTTTTTAATCCCCTACTTTCTCTAAAATTTGGACCTGCCCATTCATCTGTCTGTCTTTTGTATTTATGCCCGACAATATCTCAAAACATTTGTGGTTTTGCTATATTACTCCTTATAGCTTAGAAGAAACCCCTATTGTCCAAAGAATTTCAATTTCAATTTTAAAATCCAATTTATCTTTTGCAGCTAAATTTTTATACTTTTGATCAGAGTGACATTCAAAAAACTCATCTTACCTCGTCATCTTTTCATCAAAGAATCCTGTCGGAAACTAGTGTCTTGAATAGAACCGCTTTAAATACTTCCCTAAATCTGCTGAGTCAGGTTTGAATCCTCTAAGCGTTTGAAACTATATACAAACTTAGGGAAATATAGAAATTTCTGTTAAAATAGTTTCAAATACATTTCTACTACCATTTTCTTTTATTTATATAAAACAATGGCCTTTCTTGTAAAAGTTTTTGGTTTTGAAGAAGAAAAAAATATAGATGTTCAGAAAATTAATAATAAGTGAAATTCTATCATCTGGAACGCAACATTCGTTATTTATAGTAATTTAGAACACAGTTCTTTATTAATATAAAATGTACAAACATGAACCTCTGTTTAAAATTGTAGGATGCTGTTGGACCTTGTGGAAACCACCCCTGTAAGAACGACGGACGTTGCTTAGATACGGTATCCGCTGTTACGGGAAACAGAACCTACTTCTGCCTGTGTCAGAATGGGTGGAAAGGAGATGTCTGTGATATTGAAGGTAATTAATTAACCCCACAGTTCCGATTTTACTGGCATGATACTAAGAAAGGTGACAAAAACCTTTAGAAATCTGCTCTTGATTTGTTCCCCCAAAGTTTGTTACCTAAAAACAGATTTTTTCAAGTATTTTCTCAAACACTATTTTTTAAGAACACTTATTTTTCTTAAATTATAAGCAATGAATATTTCGATCTCGAATACTAAAAATATCTTTTTGAAATTTGCTAAATTTGAGAACTCATTAAGTAAAGTGATAGCGAGTTTCATTACCTCTATTTCAGAGGACAGTTTGGGCTGGGCAACATGGGCTGAGTGGTCTCAATGCTCTACTTCTTGTGGCAACGGGTACCATGTCCGTGAGAGGAAATGTAAAAACCTGGGTAGTGGCGTGGATCTTTCTTCATCTCAGTGCTATGGCCGTGATATCGAATACAAAGCATGTCAATTCAGGAAATGCCCAAGTAAGGTGTTGAAAAAATAGCTGTATAAAATCATAAAATGTCTTTTTCCATATATATGTATCTTTATAATCCACGTCAAAGCATTCACAGTCTTATAAATGACGTGATCCGATCTTTTAGTGTGGGACGAATGGGGCACCTGGGGAGATTGCTCCACTCTGAAAACTTGTGGGACAGGCTCCCGTTCACGCTCACGGTCGTGTGGAAATGGTGGAAAACCCGGCATTGATCGTTATTGTCTCGGACCTGTCAACGAAACAATGGCATGCGATGGAGTTCACTGCAATGGTACTGATAGTTAGCACTTAAAATGTCTTTTCTGAATATAAACAGTTTAACAAAATTATTTAACAATGAAATTATTAAATAATAGTTTCAAGTAAAAAGATGGAAAGTTTTTCAACGTCAAGTTCCCTTTCATGTTAACAACTGCATTAATTTGAACACACTTTTTGTTTCTGTCTACAAGGAATGGTGCGTCTGAAGAACGGTGTGAAGTTTGGAGAAGGAAGTGTAGATATATTCAACAGCCATACCAAGAAATGGTTACAAGTATGTGGAGAGAAGTGGAATCAAAAAGCAGCAGACATAGCATGCAAACAACGGGGCTTTCTTGGAGCTCAAATTGGTAAGCAGTGTTCTCTTTACTTTTTATAAGTAATAGAAGGCTCAAGTGTGTATAAAAAATTTGCGTATTCTTGTCGTTGTTGGCGTTGGCGTTGGCGTTGTCGTTGTCTCTTTTCACATTTTCATCTTCTTCTCAAGAACCACTTGTCCATACAAACTACAAAGTATCCTTGGGTGAGTGTCCCCTTTTCCAAGGGGAGATCTTCATGATTTAGAGAAAAATTATTGGCATTTTTAAAAAATCTTCTCCTCAAAAACCACTGGGCCAGGAAAGATATGACAAAGCCGATGATTTGGATGTTGTTTGTTCACATTGGAGTGGCCGTATCAAGTTTTACATAGGAATATATAGGAAAATCTTTAAAAATCTTCTTCTCATTGAAACAGGAAAGATGAAACTCATGTGAAATTATCCTCAGGTAGAATAAATTCAAAGTTTGTTCAGCATGACCCCCAGGGGTAGGGCGGGGCCAAAATGGCCCATCAAAGTTTTACATAGGAATATATAGGAAAAATCTTTAAAAATCTTCTTCTCAAGAACCACTGGGCCAGGAAAGATTCATGTGGTATCATCCTCAGGTAGTTGATGAAGTTTGTTCTATCATGTAAAGTGTGGCCAAAATGGGGTTTTACATAGGAATATATAGTTATTAGCTTTTCAAGTACTAAAGCCAGGATTAATGTTTTATGGAATCATCCTCAGGTAATGTAATTCTAGTTCACTCAAGTTATGATCCCCTTGGAAATTAAAATTAAATTAACTTTCAGTTCTGATCTGATATGTGTTTTTTTCCTAGCTGATGTGCTCAGGTGAGCGCTGTGGCCCCTGGGCCTCTTGTTGCATATCCCATTTGCCCTTTCTTTATTAAATGCATAATGTCCATACAATACAGGGTGTCTTCTTGATTTTCTTATCATTTTGAAGCACTCTAATGTGTTTGGATGTTGTAATAATACAGGAAACTGGTCGCCGAGTGGGAGCTGACCATACACTTTCAGTTAAAATTGATGACTTTCTGAAAAGATACACAAAGGGTTTCGAAAAAGATATCTAAAATGTTGGTGTTATTAAACAATCCACTCTTCAGTCAGGAAATTAAACTAGACTTGTCTCAAAATGGAGCTAAACATATTACATTTAATCCAAACAGTATATATTACATAGTGAAAATTGAAAATAGTTTGTAAATTCAGTGAGGTTCTTGGTTCGTTTTCAATAAGTGTAAAATTAAGATGAAAAGTTCTTTTGCAGTGCGTGGAGCCTGGAGTTTATGGACTTCCTGGGGAGGATGTTCCGTCACCTGTGAAAATGGAACGCGCACGCGCACTCGTGTTTGTAACCATCCTCCACCTAATTTCGGCGGTCGAAAGTGTCCTGGAGATGACATTGAGTTCAAACCATGCACGATGAAAATGTGTCCAGGTATGTTGATTATTTATTAATAAATCTTTTTTCTCTAATAAGCAAACTTCTCCGCAGTAATTTTTTTAACAAAAAATTGAAAGCACAAGACAAATATTAATTTGTATTATATTCACTGTTATATCTCTCACGAAATCGTACACCGTTTTATAGTACTTTGTTTATTAAATGAGATATTAAACTTGTTGTATGTGTTTTTCACTGTCATTTACATATTGCGTCACTGTTCTGAGCTCTCTAGGGTTCACATTTTCACAATTACGTCTCCATGTGTGGCAAAACGTTTTATCTCACAACAATATTTGTTGACAGTAATGCTACACACTTGCATTGTGCATTAATAAGAAAATTCAATTACTACAGCACTTTGTTAAAATTTTTTCGCATAATACTGTATCGCAAAATTTTGCTTTATAATTCGCAATACTTGTTTGACCACAATAATTTCAAATTTTGCTTATGAGAAGGTTTGGCAGCGTTTACGAAGGGAAACAAAATATTTTTATTGCTACATATGTATATGTTTTATAATTTTTGCATTTTCGAAGAAAACGTCTTCAGTCATTCTTTGCTCTAGAGTAAGAGATTGACAACACGTGATTTCTGTAGGAAATGGCGTTTGGTTAACATGGGAAGCTTGGTCAGCTTGTTCTGCTTCATGTGATGGCGGGACAACTTCCCGCCAAAGACAATGCGACACTTCTCGAGGGTCATGCTTAGGCAGAGCTTATCAAAACGAGACTTGCAATAACGTCTCGTGCTATGGTAAAATAAATGTGTATAGCCCTTTTCCAGCTTCAGTATTTCCCGCAACTTCTCAACCACAACTATCAGACTTCTTTACAAAATGCCTGCTACTGCTGTGTCCAAACACACGGTACCCTGCATGTTATAAGCATGTTTCCTCTGTGCTCAGAACCCTCTATATATTTACTAACTGTCAATAACATTAACTCATAAGCTGCATGTAAAATTCAATGTGACAGTGGATGGCGTTTGGGAGAACTGGTCGACTTGGTCTGACTGTTCCGTATCCTGTGCCAATGGGACCAAATATCGAACTCGTTCTTGCATTGGACCATTCCATGACGGTCAAAAATGCACAGGCGATTACAAAGAAACAACATCTTGCTTTCCAAAAGAGTGTCCAGGCAAGTTAACCTGTAATTGCAGATTTAATGTTAAACTTCGAAAAATTTGATGGCGTAATGTTAACAATTTATTATGTTTCTTTAGTTGATGGAGTTTGGGAGGAATGGGCTAAGTGGACTGATTGTACAGTTACTTGTGGTTACGGCACAAGGAATCGTTCTCGCTCATGCATAGGACCATTCTATAAAGGAAAAGATTGCGTTGGACCAGAGGATGAAATTGAAGTGTGCAATGCATTCTCTTGTCCAGGTAAACATGGCCATGCAATACAAATACTTTCAACTATAACAAATAATTAGATGGTATATGCTAATTTTAATGTATTTACCTAGTGGATGGTTCGTGGAAAATGTGGAGTGAATGGGATACTTGTTCAGTATCTTGCGGAGGTGGAATACAGAATCGAACGCGAGAATGCAACATGCCAAAACACGGTGGAGATGGATGTATAGGGCATTCTGAGGAATCAAGAACGTGCAACGAAGATCCTTGTCCAGGTAAATATCAAAGGCAAACTTTGAACATCTTAGTGTGTATGCATTGAAAAAAATATTACCGATTTGTTTTAATTTATAGTTGATGGTGTGTGGACGGATTGGGCAGTTTGGTCGGATTGTTCCGTGACTTGTGCCAACGGTACACAGTGGCGAAACAGGACATGTATAGGTCCTTTGCACGGAGGTAGTAACTGCACAGGAAACAGTACTGAAGAAAGAGTCTGCGTGACTGCATCCTGTCCAGGTATAAATTGATAAAAAGTATTATGCATTAATTTTGGTCTTCATATCCGACACGAGTTTTAAAAGAAAAAAAAATCGCATCATCAAGTGTTCTTCATATTCGACTCTCAAAAAGAAAGAAAATCTTTTTTTCAGTTAATGGTGTTTGGAAACCATGGACAGAATGGGATCATTGCAATGTAACATGTGGCGGAGGAGAAAAGGCCAGAAGAAGAACGTGTATTGAACCACTCTTTGGCGGAGATCCATGCGAAGGACCCGATGAGGAACGCCAAACGTGCAACAACTTTGAGTGTCCAAGTAAGAATTACAATTCATAGTTCTCAGGTTCAAAAGAATGTTCAGTGATAAGTATTGTATTTCACCGTCTTTGTTGTCCTGTATACCAGTTGATGGAATTTGGGAAGCTTGGAGTACATGGACGAATTGCAGTCGTCGTTGTGGTACCGGAGAACAGACAAGATCCCGGAGTTGTACGGGTCCTTTTTATAATGGCACCGACTGTCAAGGAGATTGGAACCAAACAAAATTATGCAACACTCATTCTTGTGCAGGTAATGGCACAGAATTTTTATTTCTCTTGTAAATACTCATTCGGTAAGTTACGCACATTTTTTCGAATTGCAGTGCAGTGAAGTGGCTTTTTTCGTATATCCAACGTTTTCAACTTAAAAGTTATGAACAATTTCAGATAATCACGAAAATATATATATATCAAAGAAATAATATATTAGTCCGTCTAAAATATTGATTCGACCAAAACAAGAAAAAATGTATTTTTTGAAAATACGCAGTCTAAAGAAAAGCTAAACCAAGTTGATCTCTGAAGTGTTCAATAACTGTATTTGTTTTCCTGTGTGCTTTGTGTGCTGTGCTGTGTCGTGTATTTGCTGTGTGCTGTTTAACAGTCGATGGTTTCTGGCACGAGTGGTCCAACTGGACCTCCTGTAATGTCTCTTGCGGAGGTGGATCTATTTGGCGCAGACGCCGTTGCGAGCAACCTGTGTTTGGAGGCAAAAACTGTTCTGGGCCTTCTTTAGAAATGCAGAATTGCAACACCTTCCCATGTCCAGGTAATAAGTTGTCCAGTATTTCTTTGCATGATCTTTTATCATTTTTTTTTGACAGTTTGTGAAATGTCCATGGCTTCGTCTTTCAGTTGATGGTGTTTTTAAGACTTGGTCAAATTGGTCCGAATGTACCTTGACATGTGGGAATGGCACACAGTTTAGAAATAGGTCGTGTGAGGGTCCTTATTTTGGAGGGCAAAACTGTACCGGTGAATGGGCCCAAGTGAAAGATTGTAATACATTTCCTTGTCCAGGTAAAGACTCATTCTAACTTATTAATACAAATATAAATATCGCAATAAAAAATGCTGCCTTATTATATATGTATTTCGCATTTACCCCATTTTAGTTGATGGGTTTTGGCAAAACTGGTCAAATTGGTCGGATTGTTCTCAATCTTGTGGTCGAGGTTTCATGGTTCGTACGCGAATTTGTGAAGAGCCTCAACACGGTGGTGCAGAGTGCATTGGTCCATCCAATGAAACAGCCGTGTGTTATCCATCAAGCTGTCCTGGTATGATATTACTACTCAGCGTGCTTATCGTCTGCTTTTGTACGCTATGATCTAAGCTTTCAGTGGTTATCTGCTTGGTGAATATTTTCTCAAATAAACTAAATTTTTATCATAAATTTTGTATACTTCCTTCTGTACATTCCTGATTAATACACACATATCCTTTAATATTGTATAAACTTCATATGTATTATGTCACTGTTGTACTGATGTAGCCACTTGCTTTTGTTGCTGTATTTCCTCCTTCTGTGGCACAGACGCTTTACCCTTCCTTCTTATAGAAGAAAGAAGGATCTCCGTCAGTGCTACTGTGGAGTGAACAATTTTTCGCTAAGTAGTTGTAGTTAAGTGTTTTCTATAGTGGATGGAATATGGAATACTTGGCAAGAATGGTCACAATGTGACGTATCTTGCGGTTTGGGTACACAGTCTAGGAACCGTACTTGTGACGGACCTTACTATGGTGGCCAGAACTGCACAGGAGCAGATGAAGAAAGTCAAGAATGCTTTCCAAAGGAATGCCCAGGTACCTTGCCGTTTTGAATACCTGAAGAATTACGTTCAACATAACTTAAACTATAAGTTTTAACACCATTTTAACACCATTTTAACACAATTTTAAAATATAATTTTTTAGTGGATGGGCTCTTCACCGAATGGACAACCTGGACGAACTGTCCCGTTTCATGTGGTGGGTCAGTGCGAAACAGGAGTCGAATCTGCATAGGTCCATTCTTTGGTGGCAAGGATTGTATTGGACCGAGGAATAGTAGCGAAACTTGTGGAGACTTTCCTTGTCCAGGTGAACTCCAACAATATTAAATATTACCATAAGGCATTGTAAAATGTATTTTAAACTCTCACTAAAACAAACCATTTCTGTAGTTGATGGAGAGTGGAGTCTATGGTCATCCTGGGGCATCTGTTCATTATCTTGTGGAAAAGGGCAAACTCAAAGATACCGTTACTGTACAGAGAATAAATTTGGTGGACAAAATTGTACAGGAGAGTCCATACAACTCAAAGATTGTAACGATTTCCCATGCCCTGGTAAGAAAGTAGAAGATTTTTATGTATTTCTTGATCATGCTACAGTTTTTAATGAAGTATCTGAATATTTTATGTCGTTATTTTTAGTTGACGGTGTTTTCAATCCATGGTCCAACTGGACAGAATGTAGCTTGACATGTGGCACGGGGACACAATCTAGAAACCGAACGTGTGATGGTCCATATCACAATGGCCAGGACTGTATGGGGAATTTCAGTGAGACTCAAGAATGTAACACACATAACTGCCCAGGTTCTAGATTTGTTTGATTATCAATTTGAATTTTCATATTTTTAAACCAAATCTTTGGATGTCCACAATAATGAATCTATTCTTTCTTTTGTTTTTTTAGTTGACGGAGTATTTATGGAGTGGTCAGCGTGGACGGATTGTTCTCTGTCCTGTGGATCAGGGGAACAGAGTCGGTCACGTTCTTGTATTGGACCTTTCTATGGAGGAAATGCTTGCATGGGGAATTTTCAAGAAAACAGAACTTGCAATGATCATAATTGTCCAGGTAGAGTGACACTTGTCAAACTTCAACCCTATGTAAAATGGAACATCTATCAAAAACTGAATTTTTCTATGCTTCAATCTAGTTGATGGAGTTTGGAATCCTTGGGGAACTTGGGAAGATTGTGACGTCACCTGTGGAGGAGGGAATCAATCACGTGAGCGCACGTGTTTAGGACCTTTCTATGGTGGTGCTTCTTGTAACGGTTCTTTGATCGATTATCAGGAGTGTAATACGTTCCCATGTCCAGGTAAATAAACAATTACAAATTGCTATGAATCGCACTCTTCTCATGTCATATTCATTTCGTAACATCATCGCACGGTTTGTTTCAGATCGCTTGTGACATGGTTGAAATTCTGCGATTCCGACAAGTCAGTATCGTTCGTAAGCGTCGCTTAGTCAATATGCTGCCATGCTGTAGAAAAATACTACACTACATATGACTGTTGTTCTGTCCGTGTCGTTGTCTGCAGTAGTTGCTTTATGTGTAAAATAAAAGATCGTTTTGCAGGCACCTTAACTAGTATTGGTGTATATAGAGAGCGCAATAGTTTTGTAAAACTGTATAATTTTGTTTGGAATGATAAATTGCTACGTGATTGTTGCAGTGGATGGCCGTTGGCTTTCTTGGGGTGATTGGGGTTCATGTAATGTCACTTGTGGAGGTGGAACACGTGTACGTAATAGAACATGTGATGGACCTTTCTTTAGCGGTAAACCATGCGAGGGTGAGGAGGAGGACTCAAGCAGCTGCAACACATTTCCCTGTCCAAGTATGATAATCTTTTTTGTATAATATACCGGGTAGAATTATCATTGAACAATTCTGTTATAATATCGATTTGCTAATTGAAAATAATTATTCAAGTTGATGGCGTTTGGAATCCGTGGTCCGTATGGGATAACTGTAGCGAAATTTGTGGTGGAGGGAATCAGTCTCGATATCGCACATGTGATGGCCCCTACCACGGCGGCTGGAATTGTTCCGGAAATGGTACGGACACCAGGGACTGCAATACACACCACTGCCCAGGTGAAACGATTTTTATCCGTATTTTAGGGAAAATATTACGTGCTTTTTATGTATGTGTCTAAGGTTAAGCTCTAAGAAGCATTTTATTTTTAAATATTGAACTGTATACTTTTTCTTTTACATGCCCAACAAATGTTGGAGAATTTTAAGCAAATACTTTGTCTTCTAGTAAATGGATTGTTTGGCAACTGGTCGGAGTGGTATGAATGTAGTCTGACGTGTGGTGGTGGAGTTCAGTGGAGAAACAGAAGCTGCATCGGGCCTTTCTACGGGGGAGACAACTGCTCAGGAGCTTTTGAAGAATCAAACAGTTGTAATGAACACCCATGTCCGAGTATGTTGCTTTTACATCCAAATCTAGCAATTGTGGTGTCATAATTTGAATTCCGTCAACTAGTTCTTATTATTTTCTCATTATTCAGTTGATGGAGAGTGGATGTCCTGGGGCGACTGGGATTCATGCAATGTCACATGTGGAGGAGGAACTCAGAAGAGGAACAGGACCTGTGATGGACCGTATCATGGCGGAGCAAACTGTACAGGTTCCATAGATGACTACCAGGAATGTAATACACATCCGTGCCCAGGTATGTACATGAATAAGGTTTTTAGGGAACCTTCAGGCTTCCAAGGGGTTTGTAGATATACATTTTTGCAAATTTATATCGTTGTAAAGGTAATATTTTTATCATTCACAGTGGATGGCGTTTGGAAAAACTGGAATGACTGGGAAATGTGCAGTTTGTCTTGTGGTACTGGGATACAGTTCCGCTCCAGGGAGTGTCTTGGTCCGTTTTATGGAGGCTCAAACTGCACAGGACCGGGCGAAGAGTCTCAAGAATGCAATCAACAACCGTGTCCTGGTCAGAAGCCAAGGAGAATAATTTTCATTTACAGATGACGAGATCTATGATGTGTCTATAACCGTTTCAGTGTTTTGGTGTTATAGATATAGTTTCTCACATCTTGTCCAATTCCTTTGAATTCGTGTCAAACGACGCGAGTTTACAGGAATTGACCGCAATTCACTGTGTGTTTCCTGCTTTCAGCACTCCAAGGAAAATAACATAGAATATATTGAGATTGTGGCTTACAATCTGATAATTTTGTTAAAATTCTACAGTAGAAAAATCATATAAATTGCTAAACAAGAAAATATTCATTCGCTGATAAAATTTAATGTTTCAAAGTGAATAATAATTATATGTTACATTGTTAAATAGTTTGAGATAATATTTCTTCAATCTTGTTTGTAGCAATTACATTACATAACACAAATAACCTTAAATGATATTTTTTCACTTCATTATATTAACGCTGACAATGTTACAGTGGACGGCGTGTTTAAGGAGTGGTCGGTTTGGGGGAATTGTGATGTTACTTGTGGAGGTGGGTCTCAGCAGCGGAGTCGTACATGTGACGGTCCCCTTCATGGGGGTAAGAATTGCTCTGGGGCATGGTCAGAGACCCAGGATTGTAATACACAAAGTTGTCCAGGTAAGCCAAATCATTTTCAATTATTTTACTTAGACACTAAATGCATCCTTTCTCCGCAAGTTTCTCGATAATGGAAATAATATTAAAATTAAAGCCATGTTTACAAAAATGAAGAATGACTTACTGAATCTCATAGACAAATAGGATTTGGATATTGGAGATGGACTTCCTCATTTGCAAAACTTTGCGAATAAATGGTATATGATGCCAGATTCTTTCTTCAGATGTAGCTACGGGTTGGAGTTCATGGTTTCCTTGGTACGCATGTAGTGTTCCTTGTGGCGGAGGAATGCGACTGCGTAGTAGGGCTTGTCTTGGTGGTACTTGCGTTGGTAGTCAATATTCAATTCAATATTGCAATACCCATCCCTGTCAGTCTGCAAGCTCTTATATAAAGCGTCTGATTGGTCGTCCAGGTATCACGTGATTCTGGTGAAGGAAATTTGTTGTGATAATATTCTCGGTGATGGTCTCCTGTATATTTTGTCTTATCTTGCTCACATATTATATATATACGACAGACCCACATATTCATGCAAACGAGATGGGAATGAGAGGTCGAAAAAAATCATATCAAATTTCTATGCACTTTCCAGTTTCAATATGAATGCCGGTAGTTGGTGGCTTTATTATTTGTTTTAGAAAGGTGGTAGGTGGTAAGAGATATAATAAGTGAAAAGTTTAACAAATAAACAAAATAAATAAGTGGATTGAAAGCAAGACTTTATCAATTGTTGATAAATGTATAATATTACAGGCATTGTGTGCCATTACGTTTGTTATCGATGTAACCACATGTACTGAGTTTGCAATATGGTAGAGCTTATAGGATGTATGACAAAATCCTGGTAAATGTTGGTTCTTAATTTTTACAGAGGACGGCGTTTGGTTGACGTGGTCTGTCTGGGGAGAATGTTCCGTTACGTGTGGTGGTGGTTTACAATATAGAAATAGGACGTGTGACGGACCACGATACGGTGGCGCGGAGTGTGAAGGGGCGGATCAGGAACAACAGGAGTGTGGAAAAAATACTTGTCCAAGTATGACTAAGATTGAATTATTCAAAGTAACAATTTAAAAAAAAAAATGACAAAAACGATTATCTAATTATAATAAATCTTTGCGCATAAATTATTTTTTTTTTTAAAAAGGACATCCATAACATCATTTTATATTTTCATTTTATATAGGTCTTTTGAACTCTGCAATAAGCTTCTGTGTTATCTGTTTAACGTTGTGCGCTTTCACCGCAAACCTACCACCCCGATTTCTCCTTTTTTCCTACTTACTCGATCTTGTATTTATTATTATATTATTGCTGAATTTTTGCAATACATTATTTTCTATTGCAAAGAAAAATTAAACGTAGGGAATAATTAAAAATTTGCATTTAACAGTCCCTGGGGATTGGATGTCCTGGTCGGGTTGGTCCAGATGCAGCGCCACCTGTGGCACAGGAATAAGATGGCGAACACGAGAATGCAATACGACTTCATATGGTGATCTCACTGCACCATGCGAAGGAACAAGCAATGGCACGGAGGACTGCAACATTTTCCCGTGCAGGCCTTTTGGTAAATATGTCAAATATTTATAAATTGCATCTTGTACAAGCTGTCTATTATTTCGATATATAGCTTGTTCCAACTTTTTTCCCTAGTAAGTAGTAAAAACCAGTGACTTATCTTCGTTAATTACAGCTTCCACATGTAGTCAACTACGTGAGTGGGGAATGGTAGAAAGTGGCATGGTTCAATTAAAACCCGAACGAAAAGACAAATGGTCTGGGAAACCTGAACTACAACCAGTATGGCTGAATTGTGATATGGAATCAGAGGGTGGAGTCGGTTTGACCGTGATAGGTAAGATACAGAAATGATGAATTGCTTAAAACGATTCGATTCTTTTGAATGACAAAGCAAACACCTTTCCTCAAAGCGATGATTTTGCTGGTATGTGTGAACAAAATTTCTTTCTTGTAGGACATGACCGAGAATCACGTACCAGAGTATTTGGATTCGAAGGTGCAGGAGAGTACATAGCGAAATTGAACTATAGTATATCCATTGACCACGTGATTGCAATCATTGATGCTTCAGAATACTGCAAACAATATCTAAGATGGGAATGCAAAGGCTCTGTTATACACAATCCTCATCAAATGGATTCTTGGACAACGTTTTGGACAAATCGAAGTAGTGAGTTCAGTAACTACGAAATCCCGTCTTCTTACTTTGCTGGAGCCAAGCCAGGAAGTGGAAATTGCGCATGCGGTGACACTAAATCATGCGCAAATGCATCTTTACCATGTAATTGTGACAGTAACGATCTCCAATGGCGGTCAGATGAGGGTTACATAACATACAAGGATGACTTACCCATTCTCGCTTTTCGCGCAGGAGACACCGGTGAGTTTGTATCTTCTAAATATTCCATACCTTTAACTATGTTTAAGTTATTCATTTTAATGTAAAATCTTAACAATGTTTTCCACTCGTTGTCACTGTTGAGATAGCATGCACCTTTTTAAATGGGGCATACAAGAGTACATTGTTTCATGAATCCTATTAAAATGTCTGAAGTACATCATGATAAATAAATTATGTAAATTTTTATATAATTATTTATATTGTCATACATATGTCCTTTAATCAAATGAAATCATTGCATAACGATCTTAAGAAGTCATCTTTAATATTTTAATTTCTATATCATTTAAAGAACACACTAATAAAATGTTAACGCGTAGTAGCCTCACTAAAGAAATCTAGTGTGTTTATGAAACAATACGTAAGACTACTTTTAAATTTTAAGCCATCGATGAAAAATGTGCATATTGCTATTTAGCGTAGATAAACTTGTATTTGTTTGCCATGTATGACTTACTGCAACTGGGCTTTAAAACGTTTGCATGCGAACTAGAAATTTATAATTTCTTATGTTTTAAATTCTAATAAACGAAATGTAAATTAAAAGTATTCTTATAAAATTATATGCATAATCAATAAAGGAATAATGTAATTGCTTTATGCAAACACAACCAATATGAAGAAGAAAAGATATAAAATTTATTTTTCATATAACAAATTTTCAATATTTTGTTTCCAGCAGAGAGGTAAAATTCTCTTTATGTATCTAAATGACTAATCGTCAATTTGTATGAAATTGCAATAGGAAAAATCGAACACAACCACACTAACAATAGGGGTTTAATCACATGACCTTGTTTCTAAAGGTAGCGCTTCTGAAGACGGCTACGTCACTATTGGACCAGTGCTGGCGTATGGAACCTTGGGATAACGTTTGCTTGTTAAAGAAATGGCCAAATCGACAACCGGAAACAGGAACAACAAATTCATATTGGGATATCACCGCACATGCCTCTTTTATTACTCACAATTTTCAAAAGTTGTGTATCTTCAGGGCAGAAAATGTGTAATAATGGGGGCATGCCGCATGATATCCAAAGGAAGAGGACAATGTTCTTTTGTTTTGTGCTTGTTGTTTTTATTTGTGTTTATTGTCTTTGTAGGAAATGAACCTGTGGAGCAGGGAGCGCATACAATAGGGCGTGTTCGTTGTCAGGGCGTGGCGTAGGAAATAGCGGCAATAACAGCTTCATGCGCGCATTTCCTGTCTTTAATCTTTTCAGTTATCATCAATACTAGTATACACTATTATGAAATAGGTTGTATCAATTGAATTTCACTTTTGACGACGAGTATCTGTTTGCTATAATACAGGTGATCAAGAGACAGAGCGGGGCTATCATACAATCGGCGCACTTCAGTGTTTTGGGGTGTGAATGTAAGGTGTTTTGTCTTGTACGCCTTTAGCTTTCAGATAGACAAAGTAGCAATGCTTCTGCTTATGTCTCTTGTTTTGTGTTCGTCAGTTACGTCTTTTATATTGTATATCAAGTTGACCAATCACTGAGTCCGTTGAATTATTTGCACCAAAAAAAATTAACTCAGTGTAGATAATCTGTCTCCACTTTCTGTAAATTTATCCAAGTGGACAGTTCAAACTAGCTTAACATTTGTAATCAGATTAGAGCGTAATTACACTTGACGTTGAATAATTTTATAAAAACAGTTACAATTTTTTTTTAAACAAATAAAAACTAAAATAGTGATAACGTCAAGAGTCATTACAAAAACGGACTGAGAAAGTTTGTTAAGTTACAACTTTGTCATCATGTTTTTGTTAACCGTCGTTATATTTTGTTGCCAATAAATGTTGCAAAGCAGAATCTCTAGATTTTATTTAAATACCCGGTATAAACATAGAACACAACCAAAATAATGGTGTCTGTGAGAACATAGATTATACACGTTCCAATAGCAAAATACATGCGCACTCTATAGAGAAAGAGCGAGAAATAGGCTCTATTTTTATTTTATATACACCTAGTGATACATTGTTGCTTTTTTATACATTGATTGTTTGTATGTTGTTTAACGTCTCTTTTGAGAATCTTTGATTCCCTTTGGAAACATCATTATATAGCAGTGAAGGGCTTCAAAATTTTTATCTGTACTCGTACTTAGGGTCATTGAGCAGTGAGAGTTCTTGATCGTGCTAACGCCAATACCGTGACACAGGGCCTTGGTTTTAAGGTCTCAATCGTAGGACCACAATTTTCACTTCAAAGTACCAAGCGCTTGGCGAAGGAACAGTTGCTACCTGTTATTTTTAATCGACTCATGTCATTGGTGGCCTGATTCAAACATACGACCTTTCAATCACGGGGCGAGCGCTCTATCGACTGAAAAACCGTGACAGCTATATTCTTATAGATCTAAAATTGAAAATTCTTTTTTTTAAAACCAGTGCTGTGTTTTAACAGCATATTTTCTTTGGAAATTGTTCTCATCTCATAAGAATTTGGATAAATTCTATAACAAATCAAAGGTTGATACAAAAAAAAAAATACAAACAATCTTGTTACGGTTTTATATTAGTAAAAAAATATACATGTATATATATATTTAGTTAGCATATTGTGTTAAGGGTCCTCTGAGTTCCGCTTTCTGTACCTACAGTGCTACAAAATGCCACTCTGAAAAAAGTATAATCAAATCTTTATGCATAAAAAAACTTAATAAACAACTTAAGTGATAGGTGGTTTCTTTTTAGTCGTATTAAAAAAATCTAAAAAAAAAAAATTCGGGGGAAAAGTTATAAACTTTTGTAAAAATTAACGATTTAAAATTATAAGGAACACAAATGAATAGTCAAATTGAATTATTTAACATATTCAATGTTTTAAAAAAAATTAAAAGATAATGAAGAAAAAATATATATAGATGTATAAAATAAAAACCGAGATAATAAACGCATTAATTCGCACTGCATAAGAAATCAAAGCAAAAAATTATTCGGAAATCTGGATTTGCAATTAATCATGGAAAACCAGACTCACTTTTGATGGGTGCCGCCTGAAACCACTTCTACTCTTTGGAAGTAAAGCATTGGATGGCGAAGGTTGAATAGATTCCACTGAAACGGGTTAATGCTCGCCCCGTGGTGAACCCACTGAAGCGAGACGTCTCTGATGTCACCGATGCTATGAGGTATTGCGATGACGTAAGAGTAACTCTTGCCAGGTTGGAAATAAACATAACTGCAAGCAAAAAAGCATAATTTTATTGACGGTCACTGCTGGTTATATAATTATGAGCTATAAGTAAAGACAGTTTGTTATGTTCCAACAGGGACATAACACATAATGAGTTTGTGTCGAATAGACGTTGTTACTGACAATAGACATGTAGTTTATACATACTCTTCGGTAACAGTTCTTTGACCAAGTTGTCCATGTGTGCCATGTATATTTGCCTTAAGTTCCCCACGCCATTCATGGGATCCAGATGGATGGCCCAAGGTAACCCGGATAACGTAATGGTACTCTATGCATAGATTATAGAGAAAACTTATATATTGGTTTAGTTGATCAGACTAATATTAAAATTTATATCAATATTCAATAAACCACGAATAATGTAATAATCCCTAGCAAGAAAATTTATCTTATTGGGTCTACTTGTTTTGCACGATAACGATTTTGCATTGACGCTTGCACCAAAATCGCTCCTCAGGTAACATTATCTGGAACATTTATGCAAGTATTCGAAGATTATCAGAATTTCACGGTGACATACAGTATTTCAACCATAATTGAACAGGAAAATTTCAAATCAACGTTCAAGACGCGTAGAGACTTTTGTACATGTACAACTATAATCTAGTTAATCCTTGCCAAATCTAGTAGTCGAAAGGACCCGGTTCCAGATGTTTCACACAGCTTCTGTTTCTCTGCTAACTGCTGAGGAATGAGAAGTAAAAAATCACGGGTCTTATGGATGAAACCTTAAAACCGAGCGACCGCGTCACAGTAGACGTCAGTGAAATAAAGACAGATCAATGCTATGCATCTAGATCAAGATTTGTGACACTTCATTGAAAGTCTATACGAATGAGTGAAAAAATTTCAAATTGGACGATAAACAGCATATAATCAGCCAACCACTGACATCCAAAAGATTTCTATACTACATCTTTTAAAAAGAAAGTTGTCAAGAGATAGGCGCTTATGATTACTGAACACAATACATTTTTATTCATTATAAACTATCGTTTTTAAAAGGTTGCACATGCAGGCCCGACTTTGAATAATTCATTGTAGTTTAACGTCTCTTGCAAGATTATTTGACTCCAATGAGATAATGAATAGGCAAATAAAGGTGCTTAATATCTGGGCTTTTATTTGACACTCAGATCCCTTGAGCAATGATGAACTTTTAGCATTACTAAACCCCTTGCGACTAAAGGCCTTACATTTTAAGGTCTCATCCGAAACACCAGCAACTTTTACTTCAAAATGCCGAAGAACAGATGCTCCTCATTGTTTTTTATCCATCTATGTATATCACAGACAAGGAGCGACCCCAAGACCTTCCGAACACGGAGCGAGCGCTGTATTGACTGAGTTTCTAATGTGTTTTTGAAAATATATCAACTTGTACTTTCAAAAATATAGTCGTATATGGTCACCACTTCCTAGTGTCCTAAGTTTTGAATTACTTACCACAATATGGATCACGGGTTGTTGTCTTCAAGAAGTACTTTTTACCAATTGCGTTTTTCACCGATTTTAACTCGCCAGCATGGTATCCCATCTTTCCACAATTACCAGCAACGGAACAATCCAAGTGACATGTTCCATCCTGTGCGGATGTCAAGTGTCATGTATAGAACTATCACTTGGAGACCAATTTTCATAGTTTAAGCATCCTTACCCGTGAATTTACATTCCAAACAAATGAATTCGTAGAGACATTTATTCATTGAGTACTTTTAACATACAAATTGCCCATTTATTATCAAATATCCCCTAAACAATAAAGTGTTGGTTGCCTGGTTGCCAACAAATATTGACACCCCAACAGGTCCATATATTTTATGAACTAATTCTTCAGCTCTTTATAATTTTCGTCAAGGAATCACAAAAAAAGATCTACAAGATACAATGAAGCGCATTGAAATAGTTAAATTTTCCGTTTGGATGAAACGTTCTGAGTCATGTTTTGAACGTCAATTATAACAAAATGACACGCCCATTTCTTTAGAAACGAAAAAAGAAATATTGTAATGTTTGACAAGCAGCACGAGTTACAAAGAAATGGAGATTTTTAGTTGTTATAAGAGAGAGAGTTAGAGAGTTCCCGCTTCTGTACATGTATTGAAACGAATGTGTACATTATTATAAATTTATCATGTTTATTGGAGTTACCATAACACATGTATTGGTCGAACACGTGCGTACTCGATGTTTATGTAGACTGTCAATTTGATTGGCTACTAGTATTATATTTATGGAATACCTATTCACCTATTCTACTGGTATTTTTATGAACCATTTGTCCGAGTTTTCCCTCTCTAAAGAAATAGCTGTGTCATCATATGACAATCAACTTCTAAGATAGCTGAAAACGTTCCATCCAAACGGAAAATTTTACCACTTCAATGCGCTTCATTGTATTTCCATCAGGATGGTAAGTATACAAAGTCATACCTTAAAATGATCATAAGAATCACAACTGTAGGCTTCAAAGGGACAGGCGCTGTTGATGGATTCCGTAAAATACTCATAAGCTCTAAGATGATTGCAAGCAATAAACTGCTTGGTACCTGAATCAACGGTTTTTTTGTTTAATGATTCATACCTTATAGATCATCAGTGAAAATGTGAAGCTTTTATATGTATTGTAAATATCTGCTGAATTAATTTTTTGAGATGTAACAAACCCTTTGTCTTCAAATGCATTTGAAGAGCACCTTAGACTTGATTTCCTTGATTTGTAGGAATCTTTCAAAATGAATACTGCTATCTTCAAAGAATTGAAGAAATGGGGTTTACCATCATAGATTCCTCCTTGTATTTGAATGTGTGTCAAAGGATCAGTATTACAACCGGGTTGATCTTTGCCTCCATTTGGGTAAAAGTCTACGTGACCCACAGGTTCCATCATTCCGAACCCTGTTAAAAAAGATAAGATTGTAGGTAAAATATGTGGGGATAACGAACAGTATTTGAGCTCAAAAGTCCATTACGCAATTCACCGAACTTATAATTCAGTATTTTGTCCACTTACCAACGTTTGGAACCAAAGTCTCTGCGTCCGTATGGAGAGCGTCAACAAAGATGGCGTCAGTGGGATCCAAGCGAACCACCTTGTCTGTGTTCTCGAAGTAAGGACCCGCGGGATCAAGACCTGGAAAATACGTTGCAATCGAAAAGGTCATTATTCTCCATATTTTTTTTTCCAATAAGATTTCGATGTTTATCACAAAGACAATGGACCTGTGATTCTCCCGAGGTTTGGTGTCCTCTCTCCGGCGTACCCGGCAATGTGAGCTCCCAAACTGTGTCCAATAATATGAACCTTCATTGGATCCGCATTGGAAATTTTCTGAATAATGTTGTCATCATTTTTATTATCAATGTAGTATTTTTTGTATAAAGTAAAATATGTTCACAAATCGAAACGTTACTGCAGTTTAAAAAAAATCAACAAATTTGGTGTTGTTTTTTTTTTTTTTAAAAATTCGAACTTTGTACCTTTAAGACAGAGATAAGCTTGGCAATTTCTGCGCCAACAACTTGCGTGTTCGCCGTGGCCTGTGTGTAAGGGAAGGCGGATCCACCGCCCCAGTCAACCAACACCACGTTCAAATCTTCCGACTTCAGAAACTCATCTTTCATATCCTGTGAATAGTTTAGAAGTTTTATTTTTAGTTCATTGCATTAAATGCATTTAAAATGTGCTAGTTTTTGCTGTCATTGTTACCATACCCTCATCCAGCTTGTGAAACCATTTTCCAGAAAACCGTGAGATATAATTTTAGTGTCCTTGCTACTATCAAAGTGAGAATTGGTGATGCTGTTGTAGTCGTTGGCGATGAGTTGATTGTAATGGATCTTGTTAGATCTTGTGTAAAGAAAGAATCTCGTATTGATCTTCTGAGGAGATTGAGGAAGGAAATTTATAGGCCTATGGATACTCCAGAAAGGACTTCCGGTACTGTAGCATCCAAGATCGTCATAGCAAACACTAAAACCTAAAAAATCAATTTTTACGCATATCAATTATTTTCGAAAAAAATATAGTGACTTTATACAGTATATATTCAGTCTCCCTTTTTTTAAAATATTAATTATATTTTATTATCAACAAACGATAAAAATGAATTTCTCTTGCCACATCATACAGCTCAGTTTCTAAGGCCTGTAAACAATAACTTTTGAGATATAAATGTACTCACGTTTATGGATAGTATGAAGGGTTTCAGCTTGGTCCTTACTAAGCACCCTAGCATCAACCCGCCAAAGTGTCCCAAAAAGACCTAAAGCAACTACCCACAACATTGCAACAGGCGTCCTGCTTTGGGCAACGGATTTCTTATCAAACCTTCAAACCAGTTGACCTTATCTGTGTATGATTTCTTGATATGCATATAATTCTCTGCAGTGTCGTGGGATGAATTTATTAATTTCTTAACGTTATTATTCTGAACTGGATAAAAATACCGATTGTAAATCCAAAAAGATTGTTCTAAAAATGTCATTATTCTCATTAGTATTATTTGTACCATTTTGATCAGAGTGGTGTACATCGATAATGAAAAGAACTTTCTGAAACACTTATTTCTTTAGTCATTGTAATACCATATAGATTTTTTAAAAACTGAATTTTATTTTTATTCTAGTAAAACAAAAATTGTTTGAAAATACAGCAGCACAACTGAGACAAAAATGTATATTTAACATTTATGTACATATTTCGATTATGACATGCACACTAATATCTTTAAAAACAATTTACAAATGACAGTCATTGACATATTCAAGAAAGACTCCTTCAGACATTTTCAAAAAATAATAGTTATCATTGAGTAGACAGGTGCTTCTAAACCGGCTTAACCTTTGGCAAGCCTTTATTCCACACACGTTATCTGATCCATTTCCCTGTTTCCCAATATATACTCCAAGAAACAAGATAATAAATAGATATGTACGAAATACAACTCTGTTATATTAAATATCACAGTCTCTCAATCATTGGTATATATCTGGTGGTTGACCTATCAGGGGTGAAAGACAGGACATCGAGAGTTTATGGCCGCTATATCCTTTGAATGACCAGTACTTCACACAAGACTAAGGACCGGGGACTTCGGCCATCTGATCCTCTCCGAATTATCACATATCTACAGAAATGGAGATAAATTGCACTGGGTCTTAAGAGTTTGTAATAGTTTGCAGCAACAAGAAATATTTATGTGAATTTAAAATTATCAATGTATGTCTAATGGATGTGATTGAATCAAATACACTGTATCAAAAATGAAAAATCTTGATACCAACTCATAATCTAAAAAATCCTGCAATTATATTTTCCGAAACTGAAACTTGATAAATATATATATGATAAGTAAATGTAAATAAATATCAATCAGGTTCTAATAAAGATAAGCGAAATATAAACCTGCCGTCCGTATTCCGTCCACACGATGTTACGATGGAAGGGGAAACCTTTTCAGTCTGGGTAAAGCAGGGATCTTGTTTGATCGTTTTAGAATCAGAAAAATTGGGTTCAGTGTTCTGAATTGTTATACTTATATTTCGAAGTCCTGAAAATTAAATTTCTAAAGTCCATAGTTAGGTTGATATAACATGAAAAACATCAAGAGCAAAAGGTACCAAGTCCTGCAAATATATAAGACATCTCAAGCCCATTGTCAAAACGGTGGATTAACTTTCGTTTATCTCTCCTTGTCGAAAACGATTTGTTCCTCTTTCCAGGAGAGAATAAACCAAGGATTCCAACCATGTTCAGAGTCATGCAAATTAACCCTTTGGATGTTGCTAGCGATTCCGATTAGCATTTCTGTGATTTGTTGATTACAAGTTTGATTTTATTTGCGAAAAGCTAAAACAATTAATTTTGGAAGAAAATTGTATAATGATACCTTGATCTACGCTTCCTTTAATAATGACGGCCTCTATCGGCCTAATGGACTTTAGATCCACCCACCAACATGGCCATATCTCCTCATCTACAATTAATTAAAGAATATTAAAATTAGGGATAAAAATAATCTTATTTTACATCCAAACTCCAATTAATAGATATAGACAATAGAGATACCGCCCGAAATGATGGGCTGAAAGTGTTGAGATGTTTAGAAAACTCCTTACATATTTACTTTTTCATTCTGCAAGACCAGTTTAACAGTGGCCATTGTACTTTAAATTAACTTTGTTATCCTTTGACAAGTTACCTATTTTACCTGTTTTACTGGAGTTTTGATGGCCATTTTCTCAGCGTTACCTGTTTGGGAGCACGTTGTGATGTCGCCATCCACGGCAAACTCCGAGTAACCTCTGGTTCCGAACGCGTGGTCAGAACTTTGTTTTGTTGGTTTCTCAAGGGCAAAGTTATTCGTGGCGACGAAGTGATCTGCATTCAGAAAATCATCTTGCTTTACATGATAGTACGTGAACGATTCCAAAGAGAAAAAATAGGCTGCATAGTTAAGTTAAGTATAGTCCAGATATAAACTCAATAAACTCTTACTAAAATTTCCTTTAATTTGCAGGTAAGTTTAATGTTATTCTTTTCCTCATTAATCATATTTAAGGACCTTTCCCCCCAATAAATTAATAAGATGTTTAATCATTTTAATGTCAAGAATCTGTTTATAAATGCTTGCATCTTGTAGATGAAACTTTACAGATAGTCAAAGCTCGGCATGAAGGAAAAAATCCCAATCAAAGGAATCATAAAAACTTATTGATATACTTTTAAAGTTCTTTATTGCTCAAGAAGTGGGAAACAATTCAGTCTAATAAGCCTGTATATTTATATATTTATTAAGTAAATCACTTAATATTGCAGAGCATGGCATAAAGATCTTCTTGGCAATTCTTTTATAACAAAAGAAACCAGTTATTACCTTAAATTACCTAAATGAAATAAAGTTCTGTGTGCAATTTACCGATACGCTTTGTACAATTACTTAATAACCAAATGTAAAAAAAAAAAATACACACATAATAATCGATTTTTTAAAAAAATTTAATCGAGGGAGAAAATATTAATTCAATCAGAGTGGTTGTAAAAAATACTTGCTTCAGCAGAAATGATATTTGAGTAGATTTCGCGCTGCCTTTTTATCAGTGGAAAATGATATGTCATATTTTTTTTATTGGTCCAATAGAATAATTTCCTAATAATAGTTTTATGGGTGAATTTATTAATACTTGCTTTAATATTTTCAGTATTGTTATCATGTTTCAATTTTATTTTCATTTCTTACTCGATATTCATTAGTTTATAAAATGGGGTAACAAGAGATACTCTCAGAACAAGACTGTGAAAGGAAAAAAAAAATTAAAAATGGTTAAATTATGTGCAGCATGGACATCAGATATTATGGGTGTCACCATAAGCACAAAGATCAGGGTTTTGGCAAGTAGAAATTTTAACCTTTTTTTTTTTTTTTGGTCACTTGAAGATTACGAGTATTTCTTTTTCTGATTGTTGATTAATTGTATATTGTTTTATGTCCCATTTTTCACTTTTTTTCACTCCTATAGAGAATTTTTCACTCCTATAGAGAATTAACCATACGCCTGTGATGGGTACTCAGGACCATTGACCAGTTAAGAATCTTTATCGTGTCAATCCTACCGTGACATGAGGCCATCCGAGGATCCTACAACTTTCACTTCATAGTGGAAGAGAAAGGTACTGACCTATTTTTATCGACTTAGACCAATCGCAGACGGGATTCGAACCCAAGACCTTCCAATCACAGAACGACTGCTCTACTAACTGTTCTATAGTGACGGTCTCCTTTTTCGAATGATAATGATAATACATATCATATATCAATGATTTTCAATTTATGAATGAATTTCTTATTTTAAAAAAAGTTGTATGTATTATTTCTGGGTTTTTTTTGTTTTTGCTTTGTATAGAGTTTTGAAATAAAAATATCAAGACTTTTACACCGGTATTTTGAAACAACTTGCTTTCTTCCTGAAAATACACTTAATGCTTCTTTTTTGCGGCCAGTTTGACGAAGTGCATCGCTCTTAACTTGCAATTATACAGGTTTTGCTCCACATGTACTTAACTCAGTACTGTTATACGATTTCGCGAATCGGTTGATGAGAAAGGTGTGTTTACGGCTGGTGATATGGTGACATTAATTGAACACCGAATAAGTGATATCACCTTTCTGCTTTGGTTATATTACTAAATGGCAATTATAACTAAAACAACGTTCCATAAACGATAGACAAAAAAATCTACCTTCGGGACGTGACAATTAGTCGCCATTAGAAGCGGAAGGTGTTCACTGATAACTTACCAACATTTTCCTCTATGAAGCGCTCACTCCAAGCCATCTGAAATCAATAAGTATATAAAAAAAAAAGCTACAGTCATCGTATGCCAAGAATTTCAATGTTGTGAAAATATTATTTTTCTTTTGCCAAAGTAAATGTATATCATAATATGTCTGTGCAATGAATGCTAGCAATTCTACGGTGTCTATTTTTGTTGTTATGAACTTTTTTTTTATGAAACTTCTTCACAAAATGCACCACTTCAAAAGTTTCCATTTGTTTAAGATATGTGTTGGTTATAATGGAATTGAATTTCTTCAATTTTATTGTTTTATCATTGATGATCGTTAATTAATTAATTAATTAAAGCATTTGACAATCTTACCTCGCCTTCCTTGTTACACTGGTGGACTCTGATGGTTCCCGCCACCATTAAGATCAGAGACACAAAAAACAGAAGACAACCAAAAACGAGGTACACATTTCTCAGTCTGTCTGTAAAGCATGTCTTCTTCGGCATGGTCAGGACAGGCACATACTTTCGGGTGATTTTGATGGACTCTTTGTCCGCAGACGTCAACAAGTGATTGTCGTCTGCTGGTATTGGGCAGCCATCTTGTGAAAATTTGTCATCTTTGTCAAGTGAAGATGACGAGGCTTCGGGAACGTCACTCATCTTGGGGGGAGAAAAACTACTCACATTTGCTACTGCAGATTTCTTACATAATGCAAGTGGGGAAATGCTGCTGAGGAATTTTCCCAGAAATCAATAGATCACCTAGGCATTGTGCTCCCTGAGATTAATGATGATCACTGCTCTCCCATCTCAATATTAAATTTGTACCTGCAGAAAGAAAACATTGCATGTCATAACAATGATACGTTGACAATGTTCATTGGAATCAATAAATTTCTCACTATAATCCCTTCAACGCAAAACAATTCCGAGCTTAATACTTTATGGCTTTATCAAAGATTCAACAATAAATATACAAATTTTTAATTAGTTATAAATAAAGTATTCTTATAATAAGAGGAGTTAACTTAAAGGACAAACAAGTAATATCACAGATACTAAAACAATACCCTTCCTTAACAGGACAAAAACACGGATCCCATTGAAAACAGATAAAAAGATGTGCATTTTTTCTGATTTCAGAATTTATTTTTTTTTGGATAGAATACGATGATACATAAATGAGTAGGAATTGTGTAAAAACACTTTTTTTTCAGAACTTGGGAGATTTTGTATGGTACTTGAATTAAAAAAAAAACATTTATAAACAGAAAATTCCGGAATTCTTCTCAAATTCAATGCAAAATTTCACTGTTCCTCGTACATATACGTTTGTAATATGAAGCTAACGCATGTATCGAATATATTCAAAAATATTTATTGACCAATGTACTTTACCTCAAATATGTTCCTGGGAGTATTAATTACATATTCTTTGAAAACCTATACTGTATTATTCTAAGTCTCTATCTATCTTAGTCTGCCTCTTTAGATTTTGCTTTGATCCAAGCAAGTTTTCTTCCTAGAGAAGAACGTCTTTACACTAACGTTTTTTTTCATATATGGAGGCTCTCTTGTTTCAATGACTCAATGTACGGACTTCAAAGTTAAATTTTTTTGCCATCTGGTTTGTTCTGGGAACCTTTGGTGGTAGCACAATCTGCCGTACCGACTTAAAGGTTTCTTAAATGCTGACTGCATCCTCCGTTTTTGGTACATGAACAAGAGTAGGTTCCCTTGGTTTTCTCAAGCCTTTCAATGTTCTTCTCTTCTGACATCTCAACTTGGTATCCTTGGGATTCCTTAACACAGTGCGTACATTTTTGTTCTTTGGGAGTGTCATGCTCTTTTTCTTCGCAATAAAAATCTTCTGAAGGAGATTCACTACTGCAAAAGTCTTCTGACAAGGTCTGAATACTACAAGTGTCAAAATTTCTATCATCTGAGCATTTCTTGATGTTATTTTCTCATATACTAGTATGTCTCTTTATATGCCTTATCAGATTAACATTCGTGTTCGATGAAAAATTAAATAAATCACACCGATATCTCTTTTCAAGCCTTTTTTAGTCAACATATTCCACGCAGTTTCTCTTCAGCTCTTTCAAATCCAGGGTATTAAGAGTGTCCATTGGGGAGACCTCTTTTCTTTTCTCCAAGTTGTCTTTCTTTTCGATTTGATAAGAGACATTGTATTTCTTTTGATATTACATGTATTTTTCAGACTGCTTTGATATAAATGCATGTACTAAGTAATCATTTCCCACCACCGATCTGATGACATTCGCTATACAGATTTTCAGAGTGATTCAAAGTTTTTATTTAATCAGGCTGTCCATCCACTACGGAGGATGATTTTTACTTCGGCAAAGAGAGTCTTAGAATTAAAACTTTTCCAGAATAATTAACTGATTCATTATCATGCTTCTTCCAGAATTTAGGTCTCCTGGTCTCTATTTCTTCTTACCCTCTAGTCTGTTCATATGTTGAAATATCTTTATTATTCTTCTGAAAATCACTGAGTGATTACTATAGGCGTCCGGCCGGCAACCACGCCATTTTTATAAAAAAAAAACCGCATCGGTTTCTCATCGTATACCCCATCGCTGGATAATGTGACTGATACTTAAAGCATAAAGTAAGTTACTTAAGTATCAGTCACATTATCCAGCGATGGGGTATACGATGAAAAACCGATGCGTTTTTTTATGAAAATGGCGTGGTTGCCGGCCGGGCACCACTAGTGATCGGACGGTGACTGAGGCCATTTTGCGAATCGTTGGGGTCATCGGTAGGAAATAATTCGTAGTTAAAATTCAGCGATGTCTCCAACGATGCCTCACATCGCTCCTCATCGGCAACCCATCATTAAAACATTTTTCAAGGATTGGCCGATGGATGGCCGAGCATCGTCCAATATCCGTTGAATCTGAGGTCATCAGGGGGTTGAGTGGTGTTCAACAGACAACTGCCGATCACCGGTCGATGTTCGACCAAACATTGGCCCGTAGTCGACCGATGTATGAAAGATGTTCACTAATATATGAGCGACATAATATGCATCAGCCGATTATGCCTAGGTCACATTTCCCGGCCGGTAGCCGTAGACCGGTGGTAATCGTTGGTAATCCGTGGTGTTAGCGATGCCCCAACATCGGTACACATCGGTCTAGTAGTCCTTAAAGTATCAGTCACATTATCCAGCGATGGGTATACGATGGGCAACCAATGTGTTTTATGATAAAAATGGCGTGGTTGCCGGTCGGACTTACAAAGGCCCAGCGATGCATTGCTAATCATAAAACGATGTTCCAGGATAATCGGCCGATGTATATTACATCGCTCATACATTGGTGAACATCGTTCGTACATCGGTCGACTGCGGGCCAATGTTTGGTCGAAAATCGACCGGTGATCGGCAGTTATCTGTTGAACACCACTCAACCCCCCGATGACCTCTAATTCAACGGATATTGGACGATGCTCGGCCATACATCGGCCGATCCTTGAAAGATGTGTTAATGATGGGTTACCGATGAGGAGCGATGTGAGGCATCGTTGGAGACATCGCTGAATTTTAACTACGAATTATTTCCTACCGATGACCCCACCGATTCGCAAAATGGCCTCAGTCACCGTCCGATCTCTAGTGGTGCCCGGCCGGCAATCATGCCATTTTCATCAAAAAACTCATCGGTTTCTCATCGTATACCCCATCGCTGGATAATGTGACTTATACTTTATCCTGGAACATCGTTTTATGATTAGCAATGCATTGCAGGGCCTTTGTATGTCCGGCCGGCAGCCACACCATTTCTATCCAAAAACGCATTGGTTGCCCATCGTATACCCATCGCTGGATAATGTGACTGATAGTTTAAGGACTACTAGGCCGATGTGGACCGACGTTGGGGCATCATTAACACCACGGATTAACATCGATTACCACCGGTCTACGGCTTCCGGCCGGGAAATGTGACCTAGGCATTACTGACAAAGTCAGAAGGTGATTACTTTGTCACAACGAAAGAGCTCATCGTAATATTCATTTAGAACTATAGATACTACTTTCATGGACATCTTTTACCATTAAAAAAAACCAAACAGATGCCATCTATTCTCTAAGTCGACGCCCATGTGAACGTTGCAACTAGTTTAATCCTAAATGAAAGAAAGAAGAAGATGAGGCAAACGCATCAGTTCAGGAATTGTTGCTAGTAAACATCATAGGAAGAATATATTCGTCGGACGGTGACTGAGGCCATTTGGCGAATCGGTGGGGGTCATCGGTAGAAAATGAGTTGTAGTTAAAAATCAGCGATGTCTCCACCGATGTCCCACATCGCTCCTCATCGGCAACCCATCATTAACACATCTTTCAAGGATTCTGTGGTGTGAGCGATGCCCTAACATCGGTTCACATCGGCTTAGTAGTCCTTATAGTATCAGTCACATTATCCAGCGATGGGGTATACGATGGGCAACCAATGCGTTTTTTGATAAAAATGGCATGGTTGCCGACCGGACTTACAAAGGCCCAGCGATGCATTGATAATCATAAAACGATGTTCCAGGGTAATCGACCGATATGTATTACATCGCTCATACATTGGTGAACATCGTTCGTACGTCGGTCGACTATGGGCCAATGTTTGGTCGAACATCGACCATTGATCGGCCGAAATCTGTTGCCCACCACTCAACACCCCGATGACCTCAGATTCAACGGACACGACGATGCTCAGCCATACATCGGCCAATCCTTGAAAGATGTGTTAATGATGGGTTGCCGATGAGGAGCGATGTGGGGCATCGGTGGAGACATCACTGATTTTTACTACTTATTTTCTACCGATGACCCCCCAACGATTCGCCGAATGGCCTCAGTCGCCGTCCGATTACTATAGGTGTCCAGCCGGCAATCACGCCATTTTTATCAAAAAACGCATCGGTGTCTCATTATACCCCATCGCTGGATAATGAGACTGATACTTTAGCTATCACTCCGTATTCTTTTTGTATCTGTGACACATGTCATCCACTGCATATTCATTTGATACTGGAACTTTAAAGATGGGTATGATTCTGATGCTTTCTATCACGTTCTTGTAACTGGGCTCGGTAAAGTTATTCTGAGGTGCAAATCTTTCACCTTACTCCTCCGATAGTTCATCATAATCAATAAGAGCATCACAGGACATATTACCAAGCATATATTTGCGTGTCCTCTCAATGAAAAAGCTAAGAATGTCTCTTTCTAGAGTTTGTTCCGATTTTCCAAAGCATTGTGTAGTGTACATATTAAAGTGAGATTTATATTTCAGGTATGAGCAGTTTCCATTGCATGCAGCAAGCTCTATACATGTATCTGGTCTTCTTCCACTAAATGGGCTGCTGCGTTCCCAAATGTCGGAGCTATTGTATCATATATTTGCGCCTTGATACTGATCTCACAGGCACTCGACGTTAGTTATTTTTCTTTTTATACAAAAAATATACACATACCTAATAATAAATTTATTAATTAAGTAAGTAGGGGGTATATTTTTTTATTTAAGAAAAATAAGTATCGTCAGGTACCTGTGATTGATCCGTCGCTTCCATTAAGTTATATTTGACTTGTATTCACCAAAACCCATTTCCATTGATATCAATACTCGTCTTGTACTTGCCGATCAGGTGTTTTCAGTATTTCACTAAATGTGTTCTCAAATCAATCATCTCATCCTTTGGTTTTGCTCGTTTGACTTGAGCCTATAGCATCGCGGGTGTCAAGTATTCTTTCTATTCTTCTTTTGTCCATTTGTAATTTTCTTCGTAAATATTTAAAGAAATTAAATGCTTTCCAGTTCTTGATCTTGATTCCGAGAGTCTTCACCTCAACCCCTGAATCTGTGGTTTTCTGGTCACTTAGTTTTGGCGTAGAATGACCAGTTGCTACCACCTCGGTATTTCGCTTTCAAGTTCAGCCCATGGTACTCAGTACTTCTGACTCCAGATCCGTATTTGTTATCTCGACGATCTCTTCACGCATTATGGTTATATTCGTTTCTGTTTCATATTTGTCTCAATCCTTTATGACTTTCAATCACTTTCGTCTCAAATTTCTCAGAATGACTAAATTAAAGTTCCATTCAGTTGTCTCAATTAATCTTAATTGCTAGATCATCTATTTATTTCCAAGCTTTGCTTTAAATTAAAAAGTTAACTTTAAAGTACGAAAGGGAAGTAAAGGCCTGCACTAATTTTTTTTTCTTTTGCCTCCTTTTCCCACTCAACTTCAATGAAGAGACAGCGATTTTAAAATATCTGATTCTCTTTAGCTATAGGCAAAATGTATTCTTCTCTGCACTACATAGTTTTCAATCACCATCTAGAATCATCCCTGATCATCACAAATCAGTATAAGCTCCAATATATGTCTGTCCACCTGTCACAAGAATTTTACCCTTGGCTATAACTTTTGAATGATGAGAGATAAAACTTTCAAATTTCATTTTCTGTTAAATGGTCTGTCCAAATATACTAT